TTTTTTCCAAAGATAATTCAAACATAGTTACAATAGTACATTGACAGGTAACATCCAGAAATTCAAGCTGGATTAAGAAGATAGTGTAGAACTAGGTATATCATTTTGACATTAGGTGGCTCTTGACTGAAAGCAGAAAATATTAGAAAGATGTTTACTTGTGCTTTATTGACGATACAAAGGCTTTTGACTTTGTAAATCCTCACAAACTATGGGTAACATTGGGAAAAAATGGGTATTTCAGAACACTTCAATGTGCTTATGAGGAACCTGTACATAGAACAAGAGGCAGTCATTAGAACAGAACAAGGGAATATTGAATGGTGTAAAATCAGTAAAGGTGTATGTGTCAAGGCTAAATCCCTTCAAAATACGTATTTAATCTGTGTGCTGAACAAATAGTCTGAGAAGTTGGATTATATGAAGAAGAATAGCATGACGATTGGAGGAAGATTTATTAACAATCTGCAATATGCAGATGATACAACCTCGCTTGATAGAAGCAAATTGAACATAAAATATTTAACTGATGAAAATCAAAAACAACAGCCTTCAGTATGGGTTACACCTTAGTGTAAAGAAAACAAAAATCCTCACCACTGGGCCAATAAATAACATCATGATAAATGGAGTAATGGTCAAAGACTTGATTTTACTGAGTTCCACAATTAACACTAATGGAAGCAGCAGTCAAGAAATCAAATGTTTCTTGCATTAGGCAAATCTGCTGCAAAAGATCTCTTTAAAGAATTAAGAAGCTGTCGGTTTGAGGTCTCAGGTCCACCCGACCCAAACCATAGAATTTCCAGTTACCGTGAATGCATGTTACAGTTGGATGATGAGTCAGGAAAACCACAGATGAATCAATGCCTGAATTATTGTGTTTTCAAAGAATATTCAAAGTGCCATGGGCTATCAGAAGAACAAACAATTCTGTCTTGGAAGAAGTATAGTCAGAAAGCTTCTTAGAAATGAGGATGGTGAGACTTTGTCTCTCATACTTTGGATATATTATCAGAAGGGATTGTCTTTGGAGAAGGATATCATGCTTGGAAAAGTTGAGAGCAGCAAAAAAGAGAAAGACCCTCAACAGCCTTGGCAGCAACAATGGCTCAAACATAACAATTGTGAAAATGGTGCAGAACATGGCAGTGTTTTGATCTGTTGTGCATAGGGTCACTATGTATCAAAATTAACTTGAGGGCACCTAACCTAGTCTCTAAGGAGTGTGCATAACTTTGGATGAGCAGTTACTTTAGAATTAAAGATATTCTCAGAGAGAATTCAACTGTGAGCTGTCTGTAATCAGCTCTCCCAGCAGCTGCTGAAAGTTGTTGTGTAATTTCTGTAAGATAGTGAAAGAGCATCTGTGTAAAGCAGCATAACCTGAGAAAGGGAGAGACGGGAAGAAGAGAGACAAAGAGGAAGAAGAAAAATGAGGTGTTTAGCAAAAAACTCCAACAGAGCTCTTAGTCAGTTGGCAGCACCAACTAATTCCAATGTGATTGAGGCCATTTTGGATTTTTCTTGGCCATTCTATTGTTGCTGTTACAGGAGCTCTGGTAGCACAGTGGTTACGAATTGAATCGGGCTACGCACCTCAAGATCAGCAGTTCGAAACTACCAGCTGTTTCGTGGGATAAAGATGAGGGTTTCTGCTTCCATAAAGATTTCCTGCCTCAGAAACCCTGTGCAGGGTCAGTATGAGTCAGAACCGACTTCACGGCACATAACCACCACCACCACATTGTTGCTGTGAAGTGTAGTCGAGTCAGTTCCAACTCATAGCGACCGTATATAGGGTTTCTGAGATCCCTCAGAGTCCTGGTGAGTTTGAACTGCTGACCTACTTTGTGGTCCAGTATTTATTCTACAGCACCACAACAGGACTAGTCGACCTCTGATAGAGTCTGCACCCATTCAAGCGAACTAGGCAAAATGGCAGAAGAACTCATGAACATATAGAAACATCGTAAGTAATAAATTACTGCTTTAGTCTACTAAATTTTGGAATGTTACTCAGTTGTACTTGTTAACACTTTAATGTGTTTGTGCCCTCTAGCAACAATTCATTAATATTTTCTAAATATCAATAAATATATAGTGAAACTGATTGATATTCATATATTTGATATTAAAAATGTATAAATCTCATGTTGTTGCTGTGAATTGCCATCGAGTCAATTCTGACCCATAGCTGCTCTGTATAGGGTTTCCAGCAACCAGCTGGTGAGCTTGCATCACTGACCTTGCAGTTCAAACAACTTTGTAGTCTAATGCATTAGCCCACAGCACCACACCAGGAGCTCTTAATTAACACAAAATAAAAATTCTCAGACCTACAAAACATTTCAGTGCTCTAATAGAATGGCATCCTAGAAGCTATTTACCCTCAACTTCTTCATGGCATCCCCACCCTGTCTTATGCATTATCTCATAAGACAGCAAAATACCAATTCTCTAGAATGCCAAAGTAATTAAGTTTGGAAAATTATTTGTCAACTAAGACTTGCCTCAACACTTTAAAATGTTCCTGTGCAGCAGATTTGCCTAATGCAATAAGTCATCTGATCTCTTGACTGCTGCTTCC